CTGTCATTGGCTTGTTTAGTTAACACTCGAAGGTGATTGGGCTCTCGGGCGAGATCCCAATTCGTCAGTCACGACTGACGTAACGTCGAACGTGACTGACTGAAAGGGAACTTGAAATCGCATCATATGACCCCTTTTACATTTGAAACACCTTTGTCCACTAAATAGAAATCATGAGTTCCAACCAACATGCAGGGGGAAAAAATTATAAAAATCTGAAAAGTATACCATAGAGAGGACCAGGGGCCTCATTTATAACCGTTGCGTACGCACAAAACCTGCCCTGAAAGAGGTGTACGCCACTTCCTACGCAAAAGGTGGGATTTATAAAAAAATAACTTGACGGGAAAATGTGCGCACCTGCACGCAAACTCTGACCCATGCGTACAGACTTTTTTTCCTGGAGAAAGAAACGTAATGAAGTAAACAACGATTTTAAACTGTTTTCATATTATCATATACATTTACATTAAATATTCCACTATTTAGATAAGCACTGAAATTACATAAAGTCATTACGCAGAAGTTAAACCAAAATTATATGAATTTAGATATAGCCTATTTGTAGTGGATGCGCTTGATTACTTTTCCTGTGGTATGTTATGTTTTAATGACAGCGAAGAGTGCTATAGGTGCACAATAATTTATCTTTAAAATAAACTGCACATCTCATGTTATGAGAAAATATTTTTAGCGAGAACAATGATCAATGATGCGCACTTACTTCGATATTGTGGCGGACACTGCTGGATTCGGTGGAACAGTCTATTTTCCGGTTTGAATAGGACCAATGATAATAGCTTACTGTACAACCACAGCTGCACGGAAGTGTTGATGTCGTGTGAAGGCATCTCCACAACATTATAAAAAATACCACTGTATTTGAAGGATACAACTTGAAGAAAACACTGCAATAAATATAAGTGTGTAAAACAGAAACCTGGCACATATTTTAAACTGGATTTTTTTTTCTTTTTACTTTTCTTTCTTATGGACACTCTTACTTTGTCAGTGACCTTCAGGCATAGACCAGTTATGCTCTTTCGTTATTTGTGATGATGTTAGAAAGACTTAAAAAGTGACACCTAGCAGTGACAAAACACTGATGATTTTCTCTTGCATATGTTTCAGATGTTCAAATGCATGTGTGCAGTATTATTTATCTCTGTGTATTATTTGAGTTTCAATTTTCATATTGTTCACGCCTTAATCCAGTTTTGAATACCTGTCAAACACTGAATGAAATCCCAAAAGTACATCAGAACAGCCATTTCCGTCTCATTAGTCCAGTGTGATCCATAAATCAGAGGCCAACAGTGTGAACCAGCAGGCGAAGCGAAAGAAAGACACTCCATTATTCTGAGTGTCAGACATCCACCCATCTGATTGTGAGCAGCAATGACATTTCAGATATGTGTGATGACAGCTCTAATGTAGCACATGATGAATGAAAGCTTAAGGAATCCAGGAGAATGATTGTGCTCAGTTTGAGCAATTCTGTGCTCTCCTCATACTGTACTGTTCTGTCTAAGTGAAAGCAATCTGAGGCTGATTGTCAGTTCTAACAGTAGACATTACAGAAATCCCTGTTTAATCAGGCTTAAAGGGTAAGTTCACCCAAAAATGAAAATTAGCCCATAAATTACTCACCCTCAAGTCATCCTAGGTGTATATGACTTTCTTCTTTCAGACGAATCCAGTCAGAGTTAAATTAAAAATGGTCTTTGATCTTTCAAGCTGTTTCATGCCAATCAGTGGGTGTTGAATGCATCTGTCCAAAAGCAGTTAAATAAAATGTGCCCATCCATAAAAAAAAAAGTGTCTCACACGGCTCCGCAGCGCTGAACTCATACGTCATCCGTTTTCACGAGACTCACCGTCGCATGCGCGAACTCTTTCAAGAACTCATACGTCATCTGCCCGGAGCTGCTTCCATGTACAACAGTGAGCGCAAGCTAAACTAAATTGATTATTACGTTTTAAATGAAGTAAACAACAAGCTCTATATCGCATTTGGAAATAACATACCACTTACCCTAAACCTAACCAAACGCAAGCATGAGATAAAGCACTAACTGAAGCAACTATGCCATTTTTGCTTGCTTCTACAAGTCTGTGAGCTCTTTTTATCATAAATCACGTTTTACAAGACTTGGACCCATCCACTCATAATAAAAGTTGTTGGTGATTTACTGCCACTAGTGTTTAGCTAGAAAATGCATTGAATTATGTGTAGAGGTACATTTTTAGAATTGCAAAAATGTAGGTAGAGGCATGTCTTTCCAATAAGCCAATGTAGGTTGGAAGTAAAATTGGATTAAAAAAAGACTTGTGTTAAAATGTTTTGTTTTCTGTATTTAATTGTCAATAAAACACAATGTGGACGACTGATATATGGCCATTGTCAATATATTGGACGATACTTAGCATATTTTAAATATTGGCACTGGCACATAAGTTTTTCTGTTTAGCCAATGTGTCAGAAGTAGGACTTTTATTTTGACAGTGCTGAGAATGCCAGTACTAATTCTCCATCTTCATTAGTTTACTGTCTCTCTTTAACAGTTCTATCTCATAAATTATTAGACAACTGTTAAACAAAGAAAGTAAGTAGTTTATGAAAAAATATTGCGTTTGCTTCTCTTGTGGTAATAGAAAGGCAAACATATTTTCTCATCTGTCTTCTCATTATACTTTCTCGTCTACTGTAAGCATTTAACAAACTTGCATTTATAACACTTAATCACTTAAACCGTCTTTAAACGTCTAATAAATACCAATTACCAGACTGCATAATGCATGTGCTCATATTCATATTTTTAACAATTTATTTGTGAAAAATACTATTAAGATTACAAAATCAAGAAGTTGCCATCTAAAATATGAATCTGTTTAATATATATTGTTTTTACTATCTTTAAATTTCATTGTGTGATGTTATATAGTTCGACCATCAGCCACCCTGCTCTCGAAGATATCAATATCAAAATCAATATGGGTCGACCACTCATTGTTATGTCTAACAATAAGGATCTAAAATCATAAACACCAAATTTAGCCCAAACCACTTAACTCTGTTAATTTTTTTAAATATATATATAGTTTTAGTTTTGTATTAAAATTGAACTGAAAATGTCTGTATAAATGACATTTATAGAATGTTCAAAACGTGATGATCAGTGACGATGTTGTTGTAGTATTTGCATATTCACTTGTAATCTTCTTTCTTACATATATTTGCATACCGAATTATCATTGGTCTTATATTCCTTTCATATATTTAGCCATTTATCCTCATTATCATGTGCACAGTGATTCTTGTGTCGAGTCGACTGAAAACCAAACGGGTGATGAGTGTCAGGACAACAGCAAAGTGAACTAAAACTTTAAGGTGAAAACATTATGCTTTTGCAGCCTTGCGAGAACTGATATTTCCTTTGGGAAATGCAAATTTATCTTTGTTTAAAATGTCTTTTGAAGTCAGGGTTTCAGGGAGTCAGGGAGTACAATTACTGTTTAAAGAAAATGCTGTGCAGTAAACAAAGACTGAGCATTTATGAGTTAGAGCTACATAATTATACTAGGCATGTGTTTTGGTGTATCCCTGTAAGCAGGACGCTGTTCTTTTTTTGTCACAGGGCATGTCAAGACGAGTTTAATTAGCATCATTGCACAGAGTGGAATGAGATCTGTTCCGCAGGAACTACGCAGTCTTCTGACTCACTAATCCAAGCAATTAAATATTCCTTTTTTTTTCAATCATGGTGTGACTGATTAAGATTTTCAGATTCTTAATCAGCTTTGAGTTGAAATTGCTCATTTTTCTTCAGCTTAAAAAATGACAAGTAAGATTTCATTTAGTTTTACATGAGTACATTTCAGTGGATTAAAATTAAGTAAAATCTGCTTAAGTGAATGAATATATCTAATAAAGTTAACTAAATTTAAAACATTTGAATTTATAGATTAACTTTTACTTTTGTCTAATGTAATGATGCTGAAATAACTAATAAATGTACAATAATGAACATTCATATACTCATTTAAGGCACATTTCAAACAGCTCACTCACTGCATACAAACAATCATATAGGTAATATTTACTTGCAAGTAGCTTCTTTTCACACTGTCATATCTGTAAAGGCAAAAGGTCTCATTTGTGAACATTAGTTAATGCATTAACCTTTGTTAATGTTAGCTAATAAAATACTATTGTTCATTGCTTGTTGATGTTAATTCACAGTGAATTAACTAACAGATATGAATTTTGACTTTAAAAATGTGTAAATAAATGTGACATTAACTAAGATTAGTAAAGGCTGTAGAAGTATTTTTATTGTTAGCTCATGTCAACCAATATGAACAAATGAAACCTTATTTCAGATTTTCAGCATAAAATCTTTTCTGCAGTACAAAAGATTTTTATTATGCTTCCTAGATTTCTTTTTCTACTATTCCTTTTCATGCTCTTCTGACCTTTCTTCCTCTGTTTTCATTATCCTTTATTTCTCCCCTCATTCTTGCCTCCCCAACCTTTCTGTGTTCCCTCACAGGCTGTGTGTTAACTTTTGTGAAATCTATGTACTTGAGCAGCACCTGCAGTGCATTGGGCCAGGCAGAATCCTCCAAACTGAGTTCTTTTATCTTAAATGTCGCACATTTACCGGTTTGCTGTCAAACTGTGTGTGGGCGTGGCCGGGTAAACTATGTGCAGATAACTGCCGACAGCCCTCCTAAATCACACTGTCACATTACCTTGTTGCCATGATAGTCCTGTTGACCTTTGTGTTGACACACACACACAGGGTGCTAAGTTACTGCAGATATTACCGATAATCTGAGACTCCATTTTGTGGGTTTTTCACTTTGCTTATCAACCATTTTACCGGTTAAATCTTTATAATTGCTTTATTACAACCTTATTACACTGTGATATTTTGTTGTACTTTTTGGGTGTTGTCTTATCATCTATAATTGCCTGAATAAAGGTAAAAATGTCAAAATTAAATCTAAAAAAGGAAAGGGTAACACTTTCAGTAAGGTTTCAGTTAACATGAACTTAGGGCTGGGCGATATGGCCAAACAAATTATCACATTATTATATTTTTGCTCCAAAGTGAAAGTCGTAGAAACCAGACCATTAATTTTCCTTAACAAAATAAATATCTAAATTGAAAAATTAATTTCTTTGTTTCTGCATGTTCTAATGAGTGATATTGTTTCAAATCAAGAAACAGGTTTGGGTTTCCTGATAATATTAATAATAATTATATCACTTTTTGTCTCTTAGAAATGCACATTTGATTTGAGTTAGGATGCAGAGGTAAATTTTTGTTCATTATCAAAAATCAGTAACATCTGTAAAAATTGTAGCAACCTAAGTTTTATATGGTTACATTTATTCTGACCAAGTTTTTATTTATTTAGCTGTCTCGTTGCACACAGCGTTTCTCCTGTTTTTCTTTAAACTAGTTTAAATCACCGAGTCATTTGTGTTCATCGCTGAATTCAAGCGCTTCACATTGGATCTCACAGCGCTGCATAATGCTCGCGTGACCGAGTAAACGCATCTGCTCTAGTGAGCTCGCGCCAGCCGTTTGAACTTTGATCTGAGCAGATAAATATGGAAAAAGGTCAGGCCTTCCATAGATAAACGGTCCGTGTGGCGCGATTTAAATGAGTCGCGCGGTTTCGTTCCGCTTTTGGCGCATAAACATTATATCGAACATTTATCGAACTCTTCATATCGTTTTATCGAGGAAAATTATATCTTCAGACATGTGCAGTAGTTTTGTCCATCAGGCCTGTCATTGTCTGTCTGAGTGACTCTGACTAGCTGCTTTGTGGCCATCCTGAACCCAGAATTTGTGGAGGACATGGCATGTGCTTTAAAGATGTTTTATACCACACACAAAGGTGGACCAGAATGGGTCACAGATGTGACTTAAAGATTTTATTTAAATCATAACTGCTTTGAAAAAAAAATTTTTCTGAAAGTAATTTTCAGATGCAACGGGGGAAAAAACTGGATAAACACAAACATGAAACTTGTAAATAAAATAATTTGATATATAGCCTATGTACAATTTAATAACATATAGCCTAGTTTGATATATGAATTGGGTGTTCGTCAAAGATTGCATGCAGTCGGAGATTTCCGTGTTTACAGCTCCGTAAAATAACCTACTGGAAGCTCCGTAGTTTTGCTGTATAGGCCTATATATAAAACTATTAAAATTACAAACACACAATAACATTTTAAGTTACTTCCATTTCTGAAAAAAAGAATGTAGGCCTAGTAATTGATGTTATTAATATACACGCCTGATTTTTGTTTTAATTATCCATCGTACATTAAAAAAAAAAAACATTTGCAATCAAGACTGAAAAAAGCCAGAAGTGAATGTAAACCAGATTTGGCCCAGACTCTGTTGCTATCTGTGAAGCCAAGCATAAGAATAGCCTACTAATGTACATTTGTTAACCCACAGTAACACATTTTAACAGATTAATCGCATATTTTCGTTTGCTGCATGCTTTTAAAAACACAATAAATTTTTTTTTTTTTTGAGGAAAATAAAAAAAGATACGTCTCGTATAAGTTGCATTTTCAGAAATAATAACGGCAGGCCTAATAATGTTATAATGTACCAACATTATGAACACTATATGATATTTTAGTTCCCCTCACTTTACAACAAATAATTTAAATGTAACCGTATCAGAACAGAATAAGAATTTTAAAATACAGTGGGTACGG